ATTGCATCTGCAATCACAACGCTGACTTCCCGGATCGCCACTCAGCCATTGGACTCTTGATAGTCGTCTCCCCACACTGCTGCTGGGGGGACTTTTTAACCTAGGCCTGTGTATGGCCTTCAATTGAAGCTGCTTCCGCTCCGCCACTCTGCCATTGGACTCTTGATAGTCGTCTCCCCACGCTGCTGCTGGGGGGACTTTTTAACCTAGGCCTCTGTATGGCCTTTAATTGAAGCTGCTTCTGCTCCGCCACTCTGCCATTGGACTCTTGATAGTCGTCTCCCCACACTGCTGCTGAGGGGGACTTTTTAACATAGGCCTCTGTATGGCCTTCAATTTAAGCTGCTTACGCTTCGCCACTCTGCCATGGGCCCCTGTACCGCCTCCTCTTGCTGCTGCCAGCCCGTCCAAGTTTGTCATGGGTCCCTGTACGGCCTCCCATTGCTGCTGACTTCATCGCCAGACTCTGCCATGTGCCACTTTCAGGTCTCCTTACACTGTTGGTGGGTTCCATTTTGTGATAGGGTGCTGTATGGCCTTCCATTGCTGCTGCCTCCACCGCCACCCTGCGCCATGTGCCTCTGTCGTCTGCTCACGCTGCTGACGGCTTCTGCTTTTTTAACCGAGGCCTGTGTTTGGCTTCCGAATACTGCTGCATCCACCACCGCCACCCTGCGCCATGTGTCTCTGTCGTCTGCTGCTCACGCTGCTGACGGCTTCCGCTTGCCACTTTCAGTCTCCTCACACTGCTGGTGGGTTCCATTTTGTCATAGGGTGCTGTATGGCCTCCCATTGCTGCTGCCTCCACCGCCACACTGTGGCTCCACACTCTGGTTTTGGCCCCGTGACTGCCCAAATGAGTGAAGTGTGCGGTGATTCTAAGATCGACGGCACTCATCTGCATGTATACTGACTGACAGTATTATTTCTCTTCCCCAGCAGACTCCAAGGGCATTTAAATTAAAGGTACAGTGTTCTGCACTAATATAAAGGCTCTCTGAAGCCTAGAAACACGCTTTTTATAAGTTAAATTCGCAGCGAATATATTCGGCTCGAATCAAATTTATGCGGCGAATTCGGCGAATCAGCCGAACCGAATTTTTGAATAATTCGCTCATCTCTAGTTATAGCGTTTGCAAATGGCGGTATAGATACTGGATTTTTACATTTTTTTAAACTAATAATGGCGGCGATCAGCGACTTATGGTGGCGATCAGCGACTTATGGCAGTGATCAGCGACTTATGGCGGGACTGTGGTGGACATTCTGACACTGGGGGGGAACTGACTTGGGGTCACTGATATCCCCAGTGACACCAATACAGTGATCAGTGCAAAAAAAAAACAATAACACTGTACTAATGGCACTGGGGAGAAAGGGGTTAACTTTTTTTAGGTAATGAAAGGGTTAACTGTGTGAGGGGAGTGTTTTACTAGGGGGCAGGGGTGTGTACTTCACGGGAACACACTGATCCTGAGAGATAAACTCTTCTCTCAGGATCAGCGTGCTCGGAACTGACAGAGAGCAGAGCTGCAGTGTAAACACTGCAGCCATGCTCCCTGTCAGTGATTGTTGGTAATCGCCAGGATCTGGCGGGTAATGACCGGTCGGGACCCGGTGATTGACACCCGCGGCCAGAATCAGTCGCACAGTTAGGGCGGTCGCGCGCCTCGCGCGTGCCCCCTACCCGTTTTGCAGAATGACGTTTAAAATTGTGATTCTGTGCAGCAGTGCCGCCCTGCCGTAGTAAAAACACTGTGGCTGGTCGGCAAGCAGTTAAAGGCTTTGTTCTGGTGAGTGCACACCTGAGAGGGGGTGCATGACAGGCACAGCACGTGGTTCAACGCATTGATATAATTTTTTCACTGGAAATTACGGTTAAAGTGGATTCACATTGTGGAAATTATATTGGACTATTTTATTATTTTATTATTATTTTTTCATCACGGAACTTATTATTTTATATTATATATAATTTTTTTGGGAACATCACTATTTATGTTTGTAGTCACATGTTTGTATGTTTTTTAATTTTGTGCACATTATGTTTATATTACAGGAATGTTAATGAAGACAGAAAATGACACACATGTTAGAGTTTAATGTGTTGCATATGTCATGCGCAACTATTAATCACTAAAATTAGGAGTGATAATATATATTGCATGTTTTATATTGATATATTAACAACGTGTTCCTGGTCTTCGAAGGGTCAGAGAAGACATTATATCAATGCATCAAAGTCATTAATGAAAAATTACTTTATTTGGCAGTTTACCATGTCGCACAACTCTACCACTATTACCTTTCTTGATGTTACTATCAACAAAGAGCTGGGGGATTCTCCTTTGAGTGGTCTCTATAGGAAACCTACAGCGAGCAACACTAAGAACAAGGCTATTACAAAGGTGTTATACACCTACATGTCTAAATAAGGCATTTAAGCGGGCCACACAAAGATCTACACATGATCTATTACTTCCCATCAAAGCAAAAAAGGAGTCAACAAGTACACAGGTCATTAAGCATTATACAAGACAACACAAATCGGTCAAAACAATTATCCAAAAATATTAGCATCTCTTGCTAAGTGATCCCACTTTGAGTCCTCACATCCCAGAAATCTCCAGCAATAACATACTGTAGAGCAAAATCTATTAAAGATTATCTTGTCTACAGTGAATTCGTGGAAGAATTCAGGACAGAGAATCAAAGTATGAAGACAGTGCGGCGCTTGTATACCCTTACAACACTAGATAACCTTAACACATATATAAAATAAGTGATAAACTAATGATCACATGCAATATAGTGACTAAAACACAATAAAATGAATGGTGTCCATGTGTAAATAATATCATGCAGGTGTGCACTGCAAGTGCCAATCATCAGACAGGTGGAGTGCCCCCCTCCTCAGACAGGTGGAGTGCCAATCCTCAGACACTGCAAGTGCCAATCCTCAGACAGGTGGAGTGCCCCCTCACCTTCCTGCCCAGGCCCCTAAGGACCAATGAGCCTTTGAATATATACTGGATCTTTCCCCTGAATGTGGACGGATCCTTCTGCTGGTGGGTCCCTCAGATGGCAATAATGGGCCTCTCCTTCTCTTAACTCCTATACAGATCGTTGGTGGTATCGATAGGTCTCCCTCCCTCACGATCACAAATGAAGAAAGAGAGCTTGCATAGTGTAAATCCACTTTATTAAACGAGTATAAAATCAGAAACCTACTCACATGCTTCTATATAAAATCAGGCCTTTACACCACTCAGAGGGTGTACTGTATTCAGGACCAGGTGCACCAAAATGGCGCCCGCGCCGGATGTGACGTCAGAACGTTCAGTCGTATAAGCTCCTCCCCCTGGCGTATCTACGCGTTACGTCACTCACACACGTGACTTCATCAGGATATACGCCCATCCTGGGTGGAGCTTAATTTATCTCATTCACTAGCCAATCAGTAGTTCAAATAGGCTGGGCTTTGCCGCCATGTTAATGAAGCTCACCTAATGTATATAGCCATCGGGGACGTCTAGTGACTGAACAAGACCGTCCCTCATAGATATACAGATGCCAATAACATCTATTGGGGTAATAGCATGTTTGGAATATAATTAAAATCATATGCAGGCTGAACCCCTGCATATATGGAACAGGCATATCGGTAAGAATAAAAAATTATAAAAAAAATTAAATTAAAAATCATCCTGCACCGTCAGGTTAGGTCTATGGGATGACACCTACCACTACCATTAAAATACTGAAATAGGGAGTATATATATATTGGAAGATAACATAAATGTACTATATTAAAAAAATGTACATATATAGAAAGTATGGATATCCATACCAGTAGTGATTAATCACTATAATTAGAGATGAGCGAAGTATTCAAAAATTCGATTCGACTGATTCGGCGAATTCGTGGAAAAATTTCGATTCGAGTCGAATATATTCGCTGCAAAATTTAACTTATAAAAGGGTGTTTCTAGGCTTCAGAGAGCCTTTATATTAGTGCAGAACACTGTACCTTTAATTTAAATGCCCTTGGAGTCTGCTGGAGGAATACTGACAGTCAGTATGACATGCAGATGAGTGCCGTTGATCTTAGAATCACCGAGAATCACAGCTGGAGATGAGTAGATGGCGGGAATATTACGCAAAAAAAGGCCCCATGAACCAAAGGGATTAAGCAGCCAGCGTCGTTCCATTAGGCCACTGCATGCCTGCATGAGGAGTCAGTGATAACGAAACAGGAGACACACAAACAAAAGGCACAAGATATAGTCATTAATAACTCATGAAGAACAAAGCCTGGAGCAGTTCAGCTATATAAGGCTTACGATGTTCCTAAACGCGTGACTCGGAGCCTCGCGATCTACAGGGGGAGCGATCAGCACTAACACTATGACAAAATAATGGATACACACTCTTGCTATCTCTATATAACAAAAATTTATTGCCTTCCAGCATGTGACAGAGACCTAAAAAGAGTTGGCATCATGGCAAGAGCATCTGTTGGACAAGATTGGAGATGCACAGCATAGCAATGGAATGATGGTACCATAAGATACAAGGGATCAGACGATTTTCACACGCGATATTCCAACATCAATTAAGAGAAAGATACACATCTAGCTGAAAATCCCAAACACCAGCGTGTAGTGACGTTTGGCGGGAGCATGGCATTACTTGGGGGGGTATTACCGACCATGTGGCGCCCGTTAGCTAAGCATTCCATAAATACAAAATAGCACATCTCAAATGGAGCCACGGTAAATAATGATATAGAGAGTATATGCGGTATATAAGAGAGGAGACCTCCATGAGAGCCGATATAAGAGAAGAGATGGGCTCCTGTCGCAAGCATGCTACTGGGCAGGTCCCAGTTACATCAGCCATGCACTCTCTCATGAACAAAAAATGGAAACTACTCAATCCAGTTTCAGTTGTGTAAGGTAGAAATCTTTTGACTAATGACTAGCATATGTAGGGCGATCTATGTTCTGCGATGGGCAAACTCGACATTACTCACAGGTTCGTATTCACTAGGCGGCCAGTATGTTGATCAGACCGTCAGCTGTGTGCGATATTCGCGAGACATATCCATGCGCCAGATCTACCACATGCGCTAATTCATTGTATCGTCATAGCGCGTCCAGTCATCATCGCAGCCACTTCTGGGTGGCCCTGTTCAGCTGCGTCGCTCTGCGCGCACCGCACATCTTGCTGCATACCTCCGAGTGCCCGCACATAAATCTCAGGTCGCTCCGTATCCTACACTGCTTAGGCTGGTTCGTCCTAGTTGCTTCAGAGTACATGCACGGCGTGTCAATGGAAGTCGTCGACATTCAGCTCTAGTTGAGGCCAAAGTCAAGTTCCGGTTGCCTCAAGTAGTCAGGGGTGATCTGTCCTACCTCGGTTGTCAGGGTCTCTCAATAGTCTGGCGCCACAACACCCCGTTGATTTGAGTCCTTCTCCAGTCCACACTCGCATACCTGCGCGCTAGCTCCCGCTACTCCTGGGTTTGCCCTTCTGATATCTCAGCACCATATATGACGCTGCACGTGTGCGCGTGGGTGATTCGATGAAAGCTACATGACAAATCAGCAGCGCATCTGCATGTGCACTATGAGGCTAGCGACTGTCTAGTAGTATGTCAGCTGCCAGCTGCAGACCCTCCCAAGGCCCATTATTACCTTAACCACGGTCACCACTCCTCTCCCTTGTCTCGCTGCGATGAGCAGCTAGCGGTTCATGTCGCAGCGCTATTAGTAGGGCCTCCTAGTATGTGCCTGAGGTAATGGATCGTATAGCGCAGCCACTAAAGGTCGATGAACCTAGGAGAGCTTCCACCTTTTACTCTATAAGTAGTTGATGAATTTGTTACTAGGTACTGGTATATTACTTAGAGATTCGACTCGACCTCGATAGATCGTTAAGCGGACTTGGAATGTCACGCCGAAATCTAAGCTACTGGCACACCGAATTTGTTCGACATTGAGCGTATCGCGTAGCAGAGTCCAAACAACGTCTGACAGAGAGAGCACTAGATAGTCGCATTACGCAACTATAGCGTACCATCGCCAGTCATACTCCCCCGCTACCGACCATAGTTACTCATAATCCGGATACTAGTCGGTCGATTCGAACGTGGCCTATGTCACTAGAACACCAATTAGAGCTACAGAGGTATTATCCTCTCACTTGAGTAGTAACAAACTGATATAGCGAGGGCATCTCCCATTTCACCGAATACCCTCACCATTCTGACTCAGATTATAGTCCGCGCCAGTTAGGCTGAGCGATCCCCCACTAGAGCCGAGCGCGACTCTGGTCTCTGTCTTCACTCTTCCTAGTACAGATCCTCTCGCAGAACTATGGCTATCCGTGCCCGCCTGATCCACTCTGTTACACTTTGAATCCTTCTTTGAGTTGTAGTCAATTTTTAAAACTCACATTCATTTACCACGCAATAATGTCTCTCCGTTGAGGCCACCTAATGTCCTGCGGTCTCATGACTCATTACCATGACAACACCTATTTTACTTACTTCTCTCACAAGACCACCTGATCCCCATTGTCTCCTCTCTCTATCTATCTATGTTAGAGAAGGTGGTAGCCATTCTGTGCGTATGAGATCTGGTAGTGCAGCGGACCGTCTTCAAGTCCAGCACCCGGTGCACTCAGACCGATATATGTTCAACAACAGCTCTAGTGAGAGGCTCTCCAGATACGTGACAACAGATTAGGATGGTATGAAGACGTGTCAGTTCAACATGCGCGCATAAGTCCCAATGCCCTCAGCCTACTAACGTGACACTAGCGTGGACTCTGGCCATGAATTATATAAACAGCTAGATAAAAATTTATTAAATGCTCTCACCAATAGGTGGCGTCTCTAGAGTTCAATCCCGAGTCACGAGTGTCACGCATGTTGAGTCAGCTGTCGTAAAACAGTATCTGTGACTGACAGTACGTCACGACGCACTACACGAGTGTAGAAGAGCACACTATACGACTGAACGTTCTGACGTTTCAATCCGCTAGTCCGTAACAACACTGCAGAGAATCTGCCTCGACACCATTGTGAGCGGTCGCTGATTCGCTGGATTATGCCGGCTGGACAATGAGGCATGGGTGGTCAAGCACGAGGTTACAATGGGATTGGGGGGGAGTAAAGGGTTCGCTAATAAGTATCCATATCCAGAGCTGATTGAGCATAGTTGACGTTACGACTATTAGCTATGATGTGTACTATAACGTACCGTATAAGTAAGCGAGGTGGACGTCTCATTGGCACTATTGACAGAGGACTCTCTCGGAGCAGTTCACCGTCAATCACACAGACATCGGGGGTTAGACTCAAGGTGACCCAGGGTTAAAAGAACCTACTGCGCAGTACCTACCCTAACGTAAGACTTGACCATGATAATAAATAGTACTAGAATCTTACATGCCAACTGCGAGAGAGACACAGGACAACAAACATTGAAAGTGCATTCTTGATCTGCGCATCGGCATTAGATGAGGAACAACATCAGCCAAGCCACAGAAAAGCAGTTCTAACGATGGGTGCGCGACGATCACAATTCAGGGGTACAGACGTAATCACATAGATTATGATAATTCATAGACTACTAATTGAACGTCTCAAAAGTTATATTAAGGGGGTCTGGGCGGGATGCACATCCAAGCTAGCCACCAGCATTGCAAGATAGAAGATTTGCACAAGTCGTAACCTAGATACACAGTGTAGGTACTGAGGTGCGAGAGCTTGCAGTGGCGTGATGAACATGAGCACTGTCGCGTTGCGGAGCTGTACATGACGTCATCAAACCGGGCTAAGCACAACTACGCACGTGTCCACTCGAGTAGCGCTAGATGGACTTCTCATTGACTGCTTAACACTTCGACAGTGCTTGCAGCCTAGCACGCGATGAATGAGGTAGACACATGTGACCAGCCGAGGTCTCATTTTAATGCTTGGAGGGGAAGGATAGAGAGCGAGCACTAAGTATCTAGTGACTAACGCTATTTTGTAATGAGTGCGTAGGTAACGTCGTTAAAATACCACCTAGTACCATGGGTGAGCGCTTCGCAAACCTATGTATCCGACAGGGGGGGTATAATGGGTATATGCGACTGTCTATTAAGTGTATACATCAGTCGACTCAGCAGTGTGTGAGGAGGACAGTCTGAAAAGTGGACACATGGCAGAGTGTGGTCGATGGAGACAGCAGCAATGGGAGGCCGTACAGGGACGCATACAGACTCTGGACTGTGGCAGCAGCATGAGAGCGGTATATGTGTGCCACGGGGACATGGCACAGATTCAGTGACCATGCACGGCCCCGCTACATGATTCGAAGTGCCCCAGTGAAATGTGTGTCCTCGACAGCCTGCCTACAGCATCTGATGCCGGAAAGTCAATCGTGCACTAGAACACTGTCAGTCGTGAGCCACAGGCGGAATAGAGAGAGCAGACTCGTGAAAGCAATGACATCAATCGAGTCTCTGATAGCATCTAGGTGTGTGCCTTCGAACAGCTAGTGCGATGAGAAGTGTGCGTAGCAGAGTCCATGCATGCAGCTACAGCGTGTACAGCGTGTGCATCCGAGTGGCGATGCAGCAGACCCTAACTTGAAAAGGACGGAAGCGCACGACATTACATCATGATACTCAGTCACTACCATAGTATGTACTCTACTATATACGAACGTTGTATCTGCAACCTCAGATTTGGCAGGTTGCTTGTCGTTGTTATCCTACGAAACTGAGCGGATTGGATGAGCGCACGATGTCAGTGCAGTTTGTAGCTGACCTAGGTTACTGACTGTCTCTAGGCGATGAGGTGGGAGAGAGACGTACTAAGAGGTCTCATCAGGGGAGTTACATTCGGGATCTTGTTGTCGGAGCAGCCGACTGTATAGATTGCGACTGTTTCTGATGTCGTTATGAGCCGAGACCCATGAGTCGAGTAATTAATCAGCGCTCGCTGAGTATAGCTGATAGGGCGGGGGATGGAGAAGTAGTCTTGAGCGATCTATGCAGCCTCGAGACATTGTCCTCTATAGTAGACACAATCTATCGATTCCACAGGAATATCCCCCAGCTCTTTGTTGAGAGTAACATTCAGAAAGTTAATAGTGGTAAGAGTTGTGCGACATGGTATACTGACAATAAAGTAATTATACATTAATGACTTTGATGCATTAGAATAATGGTCTTCCTGACCCTTCGAAATGTTATAGGTGGAATTTGATAATATAATACATGCCAATATTATTAATCAGACTCCTAATTTTAGTGATTAATAGTTGCGCATGACATAATGCATACACATTAAACTCCTAACATGTGTTGTCATTTTCTGTCCCTTCATTTAATAACATTCCTGTAATATAAACATAATGTGCGACAAAATTAAAAAAACATACATACATTTGCCTACAAACATAAATAGTGAGTTCCCAAAAAAATTAGATAACTATAAATAATAAGTTCCTGATGAAAAAATAAGAATAAAAATATAAAAAAGTCCAATATAATCTTCACAAGTGAATCCATTTAACCGAAATTTCCAGTTGAAAAATTATATCAATGCGTGAACCACGTGCTGTGGCCTGTCATGCACCCCCTCTCAGGTGGTGCACTCACCAGAACAAATCCAATAACTGCTTGCCTACCAGCCACAGTGTTTTTACTACGGCAGGGCGCACTGCTGCACAGATGCTACATATCCATCCAAAGATGCTGTGCTACATCGGAGCAGAAACCATGAAGTGTAGTGGGAGGCACATGACGATTTCTGGGGCTTACAGGCGAGGTGTGACGACTGCGAGACAGCGAACCACTAAGCCATACAGTGTGCAGTGCACGACTAGGGACTCTATCATGACGAAACGCCTGAGCCATAGGTGACTGTGGCACAGTTACTAGCAACGCGCGGAGGTCTGCTGTCAAGACACTGGAGCCCATGGCATGCATTCTACGCGCGCGCGAAACTCCTGGGCGGATTAGAGCTCATAGCGGAAGTCACTGGGAACAACGGGTATATAAAGGCGAGACACTACAGGCGCTCTACATGTATCATAATAACTCGACTACGACAACTGCAATGCTAAGTCTGCCATGTGCCACTTTCAGGTCTACTCACACTGCTGTGGTGTGTTAAAATTTTTTGACATAGGGTGCTGGGCAGATTACGGGCCTCACCATAGCTGCTGCCAGCCCCTAATCTGCCATGGGGCCCCTATACCGCCTCCTCATGCTGCTGCCAAATCCAGAGTCTCTCATGGGTCCCTGTACGGCGTCCCATTGCTGCTTCTCTCCATCGCCACACTCTGCCATGTGCCACTTTCAGGTCTCCTCACACTGCTGGGTGTTTGAATTTTTTGACATAGGGTGCTGGCAGATTACGGGCCTCCCATAGCTGCTGCCAGGCCCCTAATCTGCCATGGGCCCCTATACCGCCTCCTCATGCTGCTGCCAAGCAGAGTCTGTCATGGGTCCCTGTACGGCCTCACATTGCTGCTGTCTCATGCCACATGTGCCACTTTCAGGTCTCCTCACACTGCTGGTGTGTTGATTTTTTTGACATAGGGTGCTGGCAGATTACGGGCCTCCCATAGCTGCTGCCAGGCCCCTAATCTGCCATGGGCCCCTGTACCGCCTCCTCATGCTGCTGCAAGTCCAGAGTCTGTCATGGGTCCCACATTGTGCTGTCTCCATGCCACATGCCATGTGCCACTTTCAGGTCTCCTCACACTGCTGGTGTGTTGAATTTTTTGACATAGGGTGCTGGCAGATTACGGCCTCCCATAGCTGCTGCCAGGCCCCTAATCTGCCATGGGCCCCTACCCCGCCCCTGCTGCCAGGTCCAGAGTCTCTCATGGGTCCCTGCAAACGGCCTCCCATTGCTGCTGTCTCCATCGCCACACTCTGCCATGTGCCACTTTCAGGTCTCCTCACACTGCTGGTGTGTTACATTTTTTGTCATAGGGTGCTGGCAGATTACGGGCCTCCCATTGCTGCTGCCAGGCCCGTAATCTGCCATGGGCCCCCGTACCGACTCCTCATGCTGTGACGTTGCAACAAGGTGGAATTCAACCCTACATATGTTAGACCGCCTTTACGAACAGCAAAAGGCCATCACAGATTTCCTGATGTTAAAAGCGGATAAAGGTACTCCCTGTGTAACTTAGATGTCAGCCATTGGCAGCTCATGCGTGACACCTGCGCTTGCTCAGGCCCTTTGAGGAGGCCACGCTATTCGTGAGTCGGCAGGACTATGGGATGAACGACGTCATTCCTCTGTTGCACGTCCTGGAACAAATGCTGTTAACAATGCTGGTCAGGGTGCGGTAGACGTGGCGCACAGATCTCAACGCCACATGACCCCTGTGGGGGCAGGACAGGAAGAAGAGGAGGAGGTAGAGGAGGACATTGGTGCTCAGGAATTATTGAGTGAAATGGGTGGTTTTTCCACTCAGCGGACAGGAGTGGAGGAGCAGGAGCATCTGGTAGAGGAGGAGGAAGAGGAGACAGAGGACCCAGACGCACCGTGGCAGTATGCTGTGGAGATGGAGGCAGGGAGTCCCTCGCATTCCTTGGCACAAATGGCCCATAGCATGCTCGCTTGCTTGCGTACCGACAGCCGAATAATAACCATCAGACAGAGGGATGACTTTTGGCTGTCCACCTTGTTGACCCTCGCTACCGTTCAAAAATGGTGGCCTTTTTCACACCTGCTGAGAGGGAGGCCAAAATAACGTACTATAAAAAACCACCTATGTAGTCAGCTGGTCTCTGCCCTTTGTGCGCCAACGTCCATCTCCTCAGACACTGTGGGCCCTGTGCGCTCGCGTTCCGCTGCCATGGCAGCAGGGGAGGGGTGGGGTGGTAGGAGCAGTGGCAGCTCCACCAGCAGCAGCTGCCTCAGTCTGCAGTCGATGATGAGTAGCTTTCTTCACCAGCGCAGTGAGGAAACTACTAACCAGCCCGCAGCAGCAGCAGCAGCAGCAGCATCAGGTGGACCTGGAGCAGGACCTCAAACAACAGGCTTAGGCCTACTTGGACAGCACCCTGCCAACCGAGGTAGACAATCCCCTTGACTACTGGGCAACGAAACTTGACCTTTGGCCCCAACTAGCTGAATTTGCCCTTGAAAGGCTGTCATGCCCGGCCAGTAGCGTGGCATCGGAGCGCGTGTTTAGTGCGGCAGGAGGTATTGCAACTCCGCGGAGGACACGACTGTCCACCCAAAGTGTGGAGAGACTCACGTTTGTGAAAATGAATCAGGCGTGGATTAGTCTGGATTTCAAACCACCAGTTCCTGACACAACTGACTAAATCCGCCATGAATCATGCCCCAAACATGTGCCACTTTCAGGTCTCCTCACACTGCTGGTGTGTTCCATTTTTTTGTCATAGGGTGCTGGCAGATTACGGGCCTCCCATAGCTGCTGCCAGGCCCCTAATCTGCCATGGGCCCCTATACCGCCTCCTCATGCTGCTGCCAAGTCCAGAGTCTGTCATGGGTCCCTGTACGGCCTCCCATTGCTGCTGTCTCCATCGCCACACTCTGCCATGTGCCACTTTCAGGTCTCCTCACACTGCTGGTGGGTTCCATTTTTTGTCATAGGGTGCTGGCAGATTACGGGCCTCCCATAGCTGCTGCCAGGCCCCTAATCTGCCATGGGCCCCTATACCGCCTCCTCATGCTGCTGCCAGGTCCAGAGTCTCTCATGGGTCCCTGTACGGCCTCCCATTGCTGCTGTCTCCATCGCCACACTCTGCCATGTGCCACTTTCAGGTCTCCTCACACTGCTGGTGGGTTCCATTTTTTTGTCATAGGGTGCTGGCAGATTACGGGCCTCCCATAGCTGCTGCCAGGCCCCTAATCTGCCATGGGCCCCCGTACCGACTCCTCATGCTGCTGCCAGGCCCGTAATCTGTCATGGGCCCCTGTTGTCGCTTGTTGGCATATTCCGCTCGTTCAGATGCTCCTTCTCCTGCTACTCCTCTTCACGGATTCCGTCAGCAGTCTTTCTTGGAATCCGTTTCCAAGAGACAACAGTTTGCGAGCACGCACCCGACGGTGCAGAAGCTGAACGTCCTCCTGTCCAAGTTGCTGCTGCCAGGCTCGTAATCTGTCATGCGCCCCTGTACCGCCTCCTCATGCTGCTGCCAGGTCCAGAGTGTGTCATGGGTCCCTGTACGGCCTCCCATTGCTGCTGCCAGGCCCGTAATCTGCCATGGGCCCCCGTACCAACTCCTCATGCTGCTGCCAGGCCCGTAATCTGTCATGGGCCCCTGTACCGCCTCCTCATGCTGCTGCCAGGTCCAGAGTGTGTCATGGGTCCCTGTACGGCCTCCCATTGCTGCTGTCTCCATCGCCACACTCTGCCATGTGCCACTTTCAGGTCTCCTCACACTGCTGGTGGTTTCCATTTTTGTCATAGGGTGCTGTATGGCCTCCCATTGCTGCTGCCTCCACCGCCACACTGTGGCTCCACACTCTGGTTTTGGCCCCGTGACTGCCCAAATGAGTGAAGTGTGTGGTGATTCTAAGATCGACGGCACTCATCTGCATGTCATACTGCCTGACAGTATTATTTCTCTTCCCCAGCAGACTCCAAGGGCATTTAAATTAAAGGTACAGTGTTCTGCACTAATATAAAGTCTCTCTGAAGCCTAGAAACACCCTTTTATAAGTTAAATTCGCAGCGAATATATTCGACTCGAATCAAAATTTTTCCACGAATTCGCCGAATCAGTCGAATCGAATTTTTGAATACTTCGCTCATCTCTAGTAACAAATTTAAACAAATTTTAAATTTTGTCCGAAATAACGAATTATCTGAATTCAAATTGAATTTGAATCAAATGAAAACTATAACGAAATGTTAAGATATTGCTGACTATTGCTGATTTCCTTCAAAGATTGTGTTAGTGTTAGAATATAGCCATCTTCCAAAAAAAAAAAAAATCGAATTTCAAAAAGAATAGATAAGAAAAAAAAAAACGGAAAATAAAAAGAATAGAATAGAAAAAATAGAATAGGTCCGAATAGAATAGAATAAAATAAAATAGAAAGAAATTTGAATTTAGGATAAAATAGAATAAAATGGAAAAATATAGCTGTCTTCCGAAATTCAAAAAGAATAGAATCGATTAAAATAGAATAGAAACAGAATAAAATAGAATTGAATAACAATTAAAAGAATAGAATATAAAATTAATAAATAGAATAGAAAAGAACAGAATAGAATTGAATAGAAAATTTAAGAATTGCATGAATATAGCCATCTTCCAAAGTTTGAATTTCTAAAAGAATAGAATAGAATAAAACAAAAGAATAGGGTAGAAAACAAAAGAATAAAATAGATTGGAACATAAAAGAATACAATAGAAAAGAATAGACTAGAATAGAATAGATATATAGCTGTCTTCTGATATTCAAAATTCGAATTTTGAATAGAATAGAATAGAATAAGAGAAAGAATATAGCTCTCTTCCGAAATTTGAATTTTGAAAATAATAGAATAGAAAAAAATAGAGTAAAATAGAATAGAATAGAAAATAAAGGAATAGAAATAGAAAAAAAATAATAGAACAGAAAAAAAAAATAGAATAGAATGAAATAGAAAGAATATAACCGTCTTCCAAAACTCAAATTTCAAATTCCGAACCAACTATTCTTCACAATGAGTTCAGATCGATTCAATATTTTCGATTCTAATTCTATTTGAATACTTGGAATCCACTGGAAAAATGTTAATCTGGTTGAAAACTAATAAACAAAACTAAACAACACAAACTTTACTACAAATGCAATGAAACAAAATTAGTAACTTAACAAATTGATCCGAAACAAAATGAAGCACATTTTTTGGTTCTGCACATGTCTAGGCATCAGTGGGAGGAATAGTTCCCCATCACTAGTGCCAGTGGAAGGAATAATGCCCCATCATTGGTATCAGTGGGAGGAATAGTGCCCCATCATTGGTATCAGTGGGAGGAATAGTGCCCCATCATTGGTGTCAGCGGGAGGAATAGTGCCCATCATTGGTGTCAGAGGGAGGAATAGTGCCCCCTCATTGGTATCAGTGGGAGGAATAGTGCCCCATCATTGGTATTAGTGGGAGAAATAGTGCCCCATCATTGTTATCAGTGGGAGGAATAGTGTCCCATCATTGGTGTCAGTGCGAGGAATAGTGCCCCTCTCATTGGTATCAGTGGGAGGAATAGTGCCCCATCATTGGTATCAGTGGGAGGAATAGTGCCCCATCATTGGTGTCAGTGGGAGGAATAGTGCCCCATCATTGGTGTCAGTGGGGTAGTAGGAATAGTGCCCCATCATTGGTGTCAGTGGGAGGAATAGTGCCCCATCATTGGTATCAGTGGTAGGAATAGTGCTCCATCATTGGTGTCAGTGGGAGGAATAATGCCCCGTTATTAGAGTCAGTGGGAGGAATAGTGCCCCATCATTGGTTTCAGTGGGAGGAATAGTGCCCTTTTATTGGTTTCAGTGGGAGGAAAAAATGCCCCATTATTGGAGTCAGTGGGAGGAATAATGCCCCATCATTGGTGTCGTGGTGGGAGGAATAATCCGCAATTATTGTTGTCAGTGGGAGGAATAGTGCTCCATTATTGATGTCAGTGGAAGGAATAGTGCCCCATCATTGGTATCAGTGGGAGGAATAGTGTCCCATCATTGGTGTCAGTATGAGGAATAGTGCCCCATCATTGGTGTCAGTGGGAGGAATAGTGCCCCATCATCATTGGTGTCAGTATGAGGAATAGTGCCCATCATTGCTATCAGTGGGAGGAATAGTGTCCTATCATTGGTATCAGTGGGAGGAATAGTGTCCTATCATTGGTATCAGTGGGAGGAATAGTGTCCTATCATTGGTATCAGTGGGAGGAATAGTGTCCTATCATTGGTATCAGTGGGAGGAATAGTGTCCTATCATTGGTATCAGTGGGAGGAATAGTGTCCTATCATTGGTATCAGTGGGAGGAATAGTGCCCCATCATTGGTGTCAGTGGGATGAATAGTGCCCCATCATTGGTATCAGTGGGAGGAATAGTGTCCTATCATTGGTATCAGTGGGAGGAATAGTGTCCTATCATTGGTATCAGTGGGAGGAATAGTGCCCTATCATTGGTGTCAGTGGGAGGAATAGTGCCCCATCATTGGTGTCAGTGGGATGAATAGTGCCCCATCATTGGTATCAGTAGGAGGAATAGTGCCCCATCATTGGTATCAGTGGGAGGAATAGTGTCCTATCATTGGTATCAGTGGAAGGATAATGCCCCATCATTGGTGTCAGTGGAAGGAATAATGCCCCATCATTGGTGTCAGTGGAAGGAATAATGCCCCATCATTGGTGTCAGTGGGAGGAATAATGCCCACATTGTAAGAAGTGAATAGATAAGGGAAACACAATTAGGAAATGTTGTAAATGTTGAGGCTTAAAGTGCTAATCCTCCTGCACTAGGCAGGGACCCACAAGATTCCTTATGGAAGGGGCCTTTCTAAACAAGGGGCCTGTTTACAATCCTTTGGACTTTGGGGGGGGGGGGGGGGGGGGGGGGTTAGCACTGTGGCCAGTCGGAGTAGAAAATGTTCTGGCATCAGTGGGAGTTATACTATCACAACTGTGGTGTCATTGAGAGGAATACAGCTCCATCACTGGTGTCAGTAGGAAGAATACAGCCCCATCACTGGTACCAGTGGGAGGAATAGTGCCCCATCAATGGTGCCAGTGGGAGGAATAGTGCCCCATCATTGGTGTCAGTGGGAGGAATAGTACCCCATTCATTGGTGTCAGTGGGAGGAATAGTGCCCCATCATTGGTGTCAGTGGGAGGAATAGTGCCCCATCATTGGTGTCAGTGGGAGGAATAGTGTCCCATCATTGGTGTCAGTGGGAGGAATAGTGTCCCATCATTGGTGTCAGTGGGATGAATAGTGCCCCATCAATGGTGCCAGTGGGAGGAATAGTGCCCCATCATTGGGGTCAGTGGGAGGAATAGTGCCCCATCATTGGTGTCAGTGGGAGGAATAGTGCCCCATCATTGGTGTCAGTGGGAGGAATAGTGCCCCACCACTGGTGCCAGAGGGAGGAATAGTGCCCCATCATTGGTGTCAGTGGGAGGAATAGTGCCCCATCATTGGTGTCAGTGGGAGGAATAGTGCCCCATCATTGGTGTCAGTGGGAGGAATAGAGCCACATCATTGGTATCAGTGGGAGGAATAGAGCCACATCATTGGTGTCAGTGGGAGGAATAGAGCCACATCATTGGTATCAGTGGGAGGAATAGTGCCCCATCACTGGTGCCAGTTGGAGGAATAGTGCCCCATCATTGGTGTCAGTGGGAGGAATAGTGCCCTACTGTTAGTGTCAGGAATTATGCCCCATTTCTTGGTTTTCAGTGGGAGGACTAATACCTCAAGTGCGTAATCAAGGCAAGGTCACAGTTTGGAGACCACTGCATTATGGTAAAACTGCCCTGATCTTACTGAGTATGAAGGGCAGCGAAACATGTGTCCACCCACAAATGACTCATGAATGGTCAACTGATGGATGTGGCACATTCACAAACAAAAAAAAAAAGAGTTGTCAGCAATGGTTTGCAAAAAGAGTATTCCCCAATGTTTGTGCAAAAACATTTGCTTCCAACAAGTACAGGTCTGTCTTAATGCAGGGGCCCCAGGTGCATGGGGGCCACATGATAATCTTGCATTACATTATAGTTGCCACCAACTGTCCTGGATTTGGCGGGACAGTCACACTTTATACTAAGCTGTCCCAGAACCTAGACTGTGCCCTCCTGATCCCAGTATTGTGCCCTCCTGACTCCCCCTGTACTGTGCCATCCTGATCCCAGTGTTGTGCCCTCCTGACTCCCCCTGTACTG